TTTCTGGCAGTGGCACTTCTGCCATCACTTTCTTAGAGCTTGTCCATTTGGTTACATGAAAACCTTTTATTTTAACTTCCTGTAATTCTTGAGCATAGAGTTTTGCCTTCAGAATCGGTAGATAGCAGGTCATCAACATGGAAACTCCGGTTCACCTTGTTGGGCCTTACTCCATCCAAGGTCTTGAGAAGAAGAAAGGCAGCACAGGTAGGGCTCCAAACTCCACCGAAAAGATACCATCCGGTGTGGGACGGACGCATCTTATTCGGAATGTATCACATGAGCGAAGCATGTGATTCTCCCCACATAAGCGGCACCTGTCAACAGCACCTCGGTTTCCTCTGAACCTTGTGGGTGGTCCACTTTGTGTAATGAGAGACGCTTTGCGAGAGTGCGGCTTGGTCGGGTACCTTTGGTCACGCTTCACTCCAGAACTAGCTGTGACTCCCCATTGAGCCTCCTGCTTTCCTATGCACAGTCTTTGGGTCTCTATTCTGTTGTTTTCCTTTGGGACAAATTCATTTTCCACTCTCTTCAACTCTCCAGAAACTTCAGGACGCTCTTTGTATGTGAAGTGCGTTCATCCCTCTTCCCTGTCCGGTATGCGTTCCAACGCCCTTGCATGGCATCGTCCAACCTCAATATAATGTCCCTTATTGTTGGTCGATTGTCAATTTCAGAGAGCTTGCCTATATTTTCCGCAAATAAAATAAATGGCATCAATTGGGCACAGATTGCGGAGAATGCCTGGTAATCATGCTCCCGCATTTCTGGTCCCCTAATCAACTTTCCTCGAGATTGATCCATGCACACATCACCAATTCTTTTGTCTAGTATTGTCAAGGCCGCATCTAGACCCTTCTCTGCTGGAAGTACCATGCAATGAGATATCAGTTCTTGAATCTCCCAGTCACAAGTGGTGTACAACTTGTTTAACTTGAGCATGGCAGGGACTGAAGTTTCAAGAAAAAGTACTTGAAACTGCCTCCTGAATACCCAATAATTCTCAGCGCTGTCAGCCTTGGGACCTTTAGCTGCATCATTCTCATGCTTGCAATTAGTGCTTGAGTGATTCCCTCAGAGCTTGGGTTACATTTTGCTCGCCTTTTACTCTCACTTGTTCGTGAGCCCTGCACTTTATTGTCAAAGTTCCGACCCCTCTTTTCCTTCTTTAAGATATATTCATCCGAACAGCTCGAGGTTGTTGAGCTAGTGTCGCTATCATTGTATCTCTTTGTCCTTGCTCTAGCCCGTCCCCGTTTCAATTCAGTATTCCTAACGACCTTCGCTCTCTTCACCTTTTTTATATCTTTTCCTCTTTTTATATCTTTCCTCGTACCACACTGCCCTTTGGTACCTCTGTAGCCCTTTGTGACTGGGAAATGACTTTGCTTTCTCTTGTTCATAGCACTCCTTGTTTCAGTAGGTGAGGATCCACCGTTCTTTTCCTCATCACTCGAGGACCCACTGGAAGTGTCACACCCCATTTTACGCTTGGCTGCACACCCAGTGTTTATTGCCTCCCCACATGAGGGCCCTTTATTTTCTTATCGCGTGAAGCCCCGTTATTGTCATCACTCGAGGACCCATCACGGGTGTGCTGACGCCCCTCTTGCATGTCCCCCGGTCACCTGTGCGGTTGCATGGTCCCTTATGCTTCCTCTTTCCATGTTTGACTCCCACCTCTTTTTTTCTCGCCGCCTTCCGAGTGGAGTTGTGCCCCACGGCTTCAGGCCAACTCTCCTGCTCAGAAATGCCTCGGGCTTTCATGTTCTCATCTACAACTTTTCTTATCAGTTGGCTGAGGCCTGGATATCTCCAGGGTAAATAGCCTGCATGAGTGGCTGGCTGCCTGACGGGCCAGTGGATTCGTTTGATGCTCCTGCCGCTCGCTGTTCCTCGCAGGGGGCAGCCTCCCCTGCTGGTGTGACGGCACCCCCAGGCACTTCCAGAATTCCTTGTGGCTCGTAAGTATCCACTGCCTCGCCTGGGAGCGCACTGAATTCCCCTCCCATTTCCCCAGTTTCCGCGCGGGGCTCAAAGGGACGCATTTCGTTTTGAGACATCGTTAGTGGCTCACTATGCCTTTGAAACGAGGCGCTGAAACTGCTTGTGTTAACCCAGAGACCTTTTTCCTTTTTCACTTCAGATCACTTTGTTCTCCTTGTTTATTTTTCCTCGCTACATTCCTTTTGTTCTCACTAATTCTCTTTCCAGAAGAAATTACCTTCTCTCACCAGATAAAATTGTGATCATATGTTGACGTCTGTCACTAATAACTTTTACTTTATGTTCGTTAAACACTGCGTGTCACATCTATAGTTTCTCATCTGTGTACGTGGCACTTTCATACATTGCCCTGTCACCTTTCTTGCACTTTTACCTTTCCCTTTTCTGAATTGCCTTGACAGATTTTCAGTGTTTTGTGGCTCAGTGATTGCCTTTTCCAAAATTACCCTTTTCTTTAACCCGAATGTGATCAGACTTAACTTTGTCCCTGCCAGCCCTGAACACCGCGCGTCACTCCCGTAGACTTTCCCGCCGTTCGCTCTCCATCTCCCTCGACGTCGCCCCCTCCACGGCCCGCAGGTGGTTCACTCAGCCTCTTCCTGCAACAGCTACTATTGCCTCTGCGTCTGACTGCAAGCGCCGTTTCCTGCGCTCAGGTTATTTGTGGCAGTTTGAGGCGTCGTGCTCGCTCCGCTATTTGTGGGTGGCAGAGCTCGTGCTGTCCCTCTAAATTTGGAATGCGGCCAAACCTGTAATCAATACAATAGCAATCACAGTCATTGTCACAATCCCTGTTTGATTTACCTACAATCTTAGATCAACGCTTATAACATTACGGCTAGAAAGGATACACACTGCTTCCTAAGCTCCTAATCATCAATATAATGCTTAAGTATACAGCAATATGTAGGTACGTATTACTACATGCTATACATGAGTGCACATAATACATACGCATAGCGAGAACAGTCAAGGCCTCCAACAGAAGTCCTCAGATATCAGTCCTCAGATTAGTCCTTTCAATTACGTGTTGTCTGGTCGGAATGAACTCTGGAACAACCTACCTACACAGCCAGCGACCCCCCCCCCCACCACTACTAACGCACTGCCTTCCATACGTAACGTCAACGCAAGGGACAAGGCGAGTCCCCGTATATACGTCACACACACGAGTTGCCCGACCCCAGCCCTTTTAACCCTGGTGACCTGGGGGAAACGCGCGTGGGTTGGCACTCCCGGGAAGGGCGGGGTGGCACTCGGAGAGGCTCATCCACGCGGGTCGTTGATGTCAACAGCTACGCCATGCCGCTGATGATGACAGCGGCTGCACAGAAAGAAGAATAAAGAAGAGGAAAAGGAAAAATAGATGTAAACGATATATCAGATTAAAGAGAAAATGCAAAATAGGGAAACCGATAGGGATTGTGCATATAGTGTGTATGTGAACATATAGTGTGTTGTATAACTTTTTGTATCTGTACATATAGTGTGTATGCATTCTTTTTTGTATATGTACATGTATGTATGTATAATTTTTTTTTTGTATAAGTACGTGATGTATTATGTATATATATTTTTTGTAATGTACATAAGTATGTATGTATAACTTTTTTGTACATGTACAACGACTTATAATACGTATAACTTTTTTTTTTTTTTTTGTAAACGTACATGTTGTATGTACGTTTAACTTTTTGGAGGATATAGATTCGCCGGACGTTCAGGCTTTAGGTGCAACTAAGGAGAAAAAAAATGGAGAATAAAAGGAAGAGAGAGAAAAAATAATAGAAACACAATAAGAAAACTATATATTATTACATATTACACCTTTCAATATCTCTATATTCTTACGGTTGTAATTAAGAAATTGTAATTTAGCTGTTAATACAGGTTCGAGGAAAAAAATATAATGAAAGTATAGAGAAATAACAGAATACATAGAGATACAGAGACAGAATAGTATATTACAGGAAACAGTATGAAGGAGAATATAAAAAATAACACTACATGGAGATGCAGAGACAGAATAGTATATTACAGGAAGCAGTATGAAGGAGAGTATAAAAAAATAACAGAATACATGGAGACGCAGCAACAGAATTGTACCTTCCACACCACGCATTCCTCTGTGGCAAGACATTCGCGCTGAAGGAGAAAGGAAAGGAAACGAAGAAGATCCAGACGAGCCACCGAGACGCAGCGACAGAAATGCACATCCAACGCGTATCTGTTGCCATAAATAATTTTCCATATGCGCCGTCGAGGAGGAGCACGGGGCTACGGACAGGCAGAAAGACGAAAAAAAAAAAAAAAAAAAAAAAAAAAAAAAAAAACAGATACAGAATAATGATTACAAAGAGGAATGGTGGAATACAGAATACAGAAAGATACAGATACAGACACAGAATTGATTGGATAATTAAATGTGTATTATGCAACCTGCCTTTTTCAAGAAGGGATGTTAGGCGCATGATATAAGCAGACGTGGGTTTCACATGGCGTATCTGCGCATGGCGGGGACAGCATCACCTTGGCTGAAGGTGAAGTCATGGCTGTCGCTTTCTATGGAAGGAGGAAGAAGATGAGGAAGATAATTAACATCCCCTCTCTTCTTCCTTTCTTCCCCTTCTTCTCATTATTATTATTATTAGTTTTTTTTCTTTTCTTTCTTCCTTCTCCCATTATTATTAGTAGTAGTTTTTTTCTTTCTTTCTTCTTCCCTTTTCTTTCTTCATTATTATTATTATTATTAGTTAATTTTCTTTTCTTTCAGGAAATAAAGATTGCGAAAATAACTACCGTAATCTCCTCTTTCTCTTCTTTTTCCTCTTTTATCGGGAAAGGAAAGGAAAACACCGTCCTTTCTTCACCATCTTCCTTTTTCATCTTCGTCTTCTGTTTCATTACAAAAATACAAAAAAAAAAACTAATAGCTGTTCCTCCTTCTTTCCTTTTTCAGGAAAATAAATATTACGAAAAGAAGTAACCTTTCTTTCATCTCCTTCTTCTCCTTCTTCTCCCAGGGAACTTGTGGCGAGATCCCGGGAGATTCGCCGCCGGGACGAGAATCTCAGAAAAAACAAAAAAGGAACTTAAAAAAAAAAAAAAAATACGCGGAGGTTAAAGTGATGAATATTCAAACAACGACCGTATACCTTGTCGTGATTTGGGTCTTAATTGAGGCTGAGAAACAGACAGATGACTAGAATGTGTGATGAGATGTGTGGCGATGTAATGATAATGATGATTGCATTGTGATAATGTGGGATGTGATGATGTAGATAGTATAGTGATGTAATGACGAAATGAGACATTTGATGTGATTGGACAAAGGATGTTCCATGTACGTAATAATTACCTGTTATAATTCCTTGTGATTTGACTGTCTGTTATAATTCATTAAAAAGGTTCCTTATCAAAGTGGGAGAGGAAGAGAAAAAGGAGAAACACAGAGAGAGAGAGAGGGAGGTAACGTGCGTTTGTGAGTTTTAGACAGTCAGACATGAAAATAATGACAGAATAACCCAACAATCTGGTAACTGGCAATTTCTACAAAGCCACACAAATACTTCACAGAGACAACTGCTGCTAAAATACTACTACTGTTAAAACAAAGCGGGCAAAATACACATTTTATTTTGATGATAATGATAATAACAATAATAATAACAAAATAATAAATAGATTTGTGAATAAATTGATTATAAATGGATATGTAGATTAGCAAAAAATAAGTAAATCAAGATTAACAAGTAGCTGAATATATCAATAAAGGAAAGACAGCAGGTAATAAATAACAAGTAAGTAACAGATTATAGCTGAATATATCAATAAAGGAAAGACAATCTGGAAACAAGAGAGGACTTGAATCAAACAAATGCTAACCTTGACCACTCTCCAGTGACTTTCTAGCGCCCGGCCGACAGACAGACAGCCCGTCATGTCACTCCAGCGCAAGTGGTCGCTCGGCCCCAGCAGATAACAGTTACGGGGGGGGGGGGGGAGGGGAGGGGAGGGGGGAGCCGGGTTTGGGAGAAGGGGAGAGGTTGATAAGGGAGTACGAAGGGGGAGAGGAGATAAAGGATTAAGGAGGTAAGAGGAGGGAAGCGGGGGTGAAGGGAGAGGAGTAGGAGGGGGAAGGGGGAGGGGGAGGAGAGGTAGGGTGAAGGGGAGAGGGGCAGGGGGGGAGGGCATGACGAGGTAAGAGAGGAAAGGGGGGTGTGAGGGGTAGTGGAAGAAAAGACGAGGTATGGGGAAGATGGGGGGAGGGAGTGGGGAAATAACAGATGAGGTAAGGGAAGACAGTGAGGTAGGAGGAGAAGGTAAGTTAGGAGAAGGAAGAAGGGAGATAATAGATAAAGAACGGGGAAGGGAAAGATGATGAAGAGGGAAAAGAGGACGGAGAAAGGAAGAGATTGGGGAAGAGGACGGAGAGAGAGAGGAGAGGGAAGGTGGGCAGCCAGTTGCTGAAGAAGTGATAAGAAGGCCACGTAACATAAGCG